TCAGCCTCTCTGCTCCTATGATGCTGCTTGGCCTGCTGTGTTCATCCAGCCCTGCACCTTGTTGTCTCGGATTCTCCAGCATCTGCAGTTCCTACTATCTCTGATTCAATGTTTTGAAGGAGTTGCTGAACCCACTGGTATATGCAAGATGAGTGAATACATATTGATATAATAGAATTGCTGAAATGCCCTCAGTTAATCGCTGTGCCTATTCATAATTCAACTCCCCCAGACTGGTGGATTCATTGAATCTGAAATCAATTCAGCAAACAGTATTATTAGCAGCACTTAAACAAAAATACTCAAAAGATCAACACAACTGCATAGAGGAAAAATACTGTTTGTAATCTATCAGTAGTGCATTTTATTCCTATAAAATAAATAATGCTGGTGAGAATAATTATGTGTACTCACTTCATATTCTTACTCATGGATTTTCTGTCAGAGATTACTATGCTGTGAACAGAAGGAAGAATTTTAGTTGATTTTTATTTCCTTTCCATAGATTTCCTTTCCAATTGTTCCCCATGATCTTGATACAATACTATTGTAGTATACACAAGGAAATGAATCCTTAACTTGTTGAATTTTGTGACTAAAGCAGTGGATTGAAGTGCAGTGGTACTGTCCTCTGGGTTAAGAGCTTTTGGTCCTTATCCCATGCAAGGACATGCTGGCCATGGAAGATTTATTTTATAACATGACCAAGCAGGTTGATTGTCACCCTGTAAATTTTTCCTGTTAGTCTGATGCCAGATGGTGTGAGAGGGCGAGTTTCCTAGTCAGTGAACCTGCAGATAAAAAACAGATAATGTTGGATATAATCAGCAGGACTGGCAGTATCTGAGGAGAAAGAAATCAATTTGAAGTTCCAGGCTAATAGCCTTGCAATGTTGATCAGGATTATGTGCTGAGGGTGAACTTCCTGAATTCAGCGTAAAAGTTGATGCAGCCGTATCTGCCTCTACTTCAGTGGTACTCCGCATTTTAAGTTTCAGTCCGTGGACCTTTAGTTAATATAAAGTGAGAAATTGCCCTTCTCCAGGCAAAGGCAATGCACTGCACCAATTTACCAATAAGCATGGGTGAATCAAATGGAAGTCCATGGCCCAGCCCTTTGAAAGGAAGATGGGAAGAAAAGACAGACTGGCTAAAGCAGTGCCTTTTCTCCACAGTGGGAACTAACATTCATCTTTTTAAAACATTAGAATACACTATAGTTTAGTGGGTAATAGAAAGATCAATCATTCTGTTGGAAATAAGCTGTTTAAGATTACTTATAATTGACCTTACATGGAAATGGCATTGTAATACATAGAAAAGAGCAATTTAAGATAGAAATTAGCAATGACATTTTAAGGTATTTTTCACTTAATAAATAGCTGTTAAATAGAAGAGTGCATGGCTTATTCCCTGTTCGGTATTTAAGATACAAAGGCCAATTCTACAATCCTTTATTGTGAGAAAGCTGTGTGCAACCGATGCAGCGTTGTTTTGCAAAAGCAGACTCTGTGTCACTAATTCTCCAGGACTTCCAGCCTAATTCCAGTTTAACCTATTTGATCAAGCTAAAATGTTTCTGTTCAATCCCTGATTGAACACAGATTTAATAGGAAAAACATTTAAATACAGACCCAGCATAATTCAGCAGTATTCATGCTAGTCTTACTCTCATTTCATTTTAAACAGGAGTGGAGAAATCTTCACAGACTAAAACATGCTTAAATAAATTCTGGGAGTTGATTCATTAAATTGTCTTTTATAAATTTTTCATTTTCTCATTAAAGTTTTTGTACCAAGTTTCCAAATTCTTTGGTTCTCTACCCCTGTCCTTTCAGAACTTAGCAGTTAATAAAATAGTATATTCCATTGGTTGTTCATAAAAGGCAGATTACAGTCCATAGTGAAAACATACTTGCAGTACCAAAACAAAATGTCTACTGTTAGATCTTATTTTGTTATTAAGGAGCGCCTAACTCAATCTTGAGTGCACTAATAATTACAGTGACAACAAATTTAAGATATTCAATCAATCTCATAATGTGGCTCAGCTATGCTAGATAAAAGCAATGTACATTCATATGTCAGGACATGTTATTGCAAAGGAATATGGTCAAGGCATCTACCTTTTTAGAATTATCTGGGAGTTGGAGAACTTATATTTCCCTGTTGCTTTCTCCATGGTAATATCTTAGCCAATCAAAGTTGCCAACCAATTAGCTCCTTGTTCTTCTGTCGTAAAATTGTTGTGATTATTTGAAATTTAGCATTCTTGTGTTTGTCCTGATGTGTGCAAATTGAAAATTTAAGCAACATGTCTCTCTTTTCAGCAATGCTCAAGTGTTAATTTGCTTTTTGTTCCCCCAAAGTCTTTAAGAAAACCTGGAAAGTGAATGCTCAGAATTCTTATTTCAGACAAGGCTAAGATTTATTTAATTGCATTAATAATCTACAGAATAAAAATAATTGCAATCATGAAAGGTTAAAGCATTGCAGGAGATAATTTGGTCTATCATGTCTGCATCAGTTCTTTGCTCAAATAATCCAAAACTAATCCCCCTGACCTGCTCAGACATTGCCTTGTATTTTTCTGTCCTTCAAATATCAATCAAATTTCCTCTTAAAAGAGACACTGGTTTAATTCCTTTAGGCAAAACTTTTTATGTTCTGGCAAGTTTCTGCATAAAGACAATCCTGATAGTTACTGTCCTCTCATTTGATCATCTTAAACTTATGATACTTCATCATTTGTTCATTTCCCAAATAGAACTTTTTTTTTCCTTTATGAACCGTATCAAAGTTCTTCACGATTGAAAACTCTCTGTTAGATCTGAAAAAGTCTGATTAAGTCTCCTTTTAACCTTTATTTTCTAGTGGATGTTAGTTCTCTTCACTTAATTATGGATTCAGGGAAAGGATAGCCAGGTATGCAGGCGTATTTTAGATCATTAAACAGTGGAAAGCAAAAAGAAGGAAAATTATGTATGAACATTGATTTTAAAAAAGGAGAATCATAATCATGGGGTTTTTAATTTTTTTTTATTCACGGGATGAGGATATCTCTGGCTGGGCCAGCATGTATCCCTAATTGCCCAGAGGGCAGTAAATAGTCAGCCACGTTGCTGTGGGTCTGAAGTCACATGTAGGTCAGACCAGGTAAGGATGGTAGTTTTCCTTCCTTAAAGGGCAGTAGTGAACCAGAAGGGTTTTTCTCACAATCGACAGTGGATTCATGGTCATCATTAGACTCTTAATCCCAGGTATTTATTGAATTCAAATTCCATCATCTGCTGTGGTGGGATTTGAACCGGGCTCCACAAAACATCACCTGGGTATCTGGATTAACAGTCCAGTGACAATACCACTAGGCATTGCTCCCCCACCCCCTTCAAAGTGCAAGCAAACTGAATGAATGATGAAAAGGTAAAAGAATTTTTACAGTGTGCCCAAAATTCTTTTCTGACTGTAATATGTAAGCACCTCAACATGTGCTGAAGCATTCATTGCTAGACTAATGGAAACGAACCAATACAGATCAGAAGATATGATCCTGGGACAGTGCACAGGAAGTTGTGATTGCATTATGTTAAGTTTTATGATGATTGGAAGAGATACAAGTAGTACACAAATCAAAATATTATACTTTAAAAAGCATGCATGAGGATGGAGTAATGAGGGGGAGGAAAGTATTACCTAAGAGATGGATTACCAGCTGATAATATAGAAAAGATAAATGAATAGAATTTCTGCACAATTAAAACAAACTAGCCAAGAATGTATGCAAATAAAGGCAAAGGTAAATTTGAAATTCCTTCAGGTCAGTGTGTCAGGGCCTCTGATTATGACTAGTGTAATTTTTATAAGCATAAACTATGAAGCGTTCCTTTCCTGGTATGCCTTCCAACCTCTATCCACACCATCTCTGAGACAACTTAGTGTCACTTCTGTAATATTGCCCAACTTCTCCCCTGTCTCTGTAGATCTTCTGCAAAAATCCTCATTACTGCCTTTGTTACTTTTAGACTTAACAATTCCAATGTGCTTCTGGATAGTCTTCAGCATTCTTCACTTTATAAATTTCAGGTCATTTTAAACTCTGTTGCCCATGTCTTAGCTGCACTAATTTTCATTCTTTGGGCTTCCAAGTCTGAGACAAATGAACAACTTAAAAACCAATGCTGAACTAAACCAACAAACATTAAATGAACAGCTTCTAATATACAGCCACTGGGCATAGCATATTTCCCTTAAAATGAAGTTGATAGTACAGCCATCTGTTTCCAGATTATACTGGGGTGTTACTTTCTGTTACTGCAGATGAATTAAATATTTCTGTCGTAAATTTGGACCAAAACCAAGCACCATGGCCAAGTGTTCAGCTTTTCCAATAGTGAACTAGTAAAAAGCTAGTTGGCTCATTTTTAATATTCTCTCTGGTACGCTAATAAAATGCTTAACTTGGCATTTACTATATCGTTCAAATGTGCTAAGCATAATGGGTCAAATGATTAAGATGTTAAAACAACAAATTGTTCTGTTGTCTCCTGCAGAAATTTGTGAGGTGGATTGTGGCAAGCATGGCATATGTTTAGATGGCTCATGCCACTGTGAGAAGGGCTGGGGCAGCCTAAATTGTGACCAGCATGAATGCCACCCACGTTGTACTGAACATGGAAAGTGTAAGGATGGCAAGTGTCAGTGCAGTCCTGGCTGGGAAGGAGAGCACTGTACAGTTGGTAAGAAAAACCCAGATGCTTTATCGTCTCATAAAATCAGACTGTATTATCAATATTTTTCAATTTGTGCTTTTCTTGCCTCATAGATTTTTTTCTTTTCTGTTCTTAAGCACAACATTTGGATAATGTTGTAAAAGGTAAGAATCAGCCCGTAATATATCTTCATCCATCTGCACTGATGTGACCATAAGTCTGCTCACTGGGTCAGGAATCTTTACCCAATATAGTTTTTCAAGATGAGTATTTCTTTAAAATATCTCACAATATTTTAGAAAACAATGGTACAATAGGTAATAAAACGTTGGTTGTTTTAAGAGTATTGAGAATTAATGGAAATTAAAATCGGTAAGAGATCTAAAGCAGGAGACCAATTCACTATCAACCATTTTACACCATCGCATAGATGCTATGCTTTAAAATGAGACACAGCCTTGGTTATTTTGAATATGTGCTATTTATAGGTAGAGGGATTGTGCCACCATTCTTCTTTCCTGGACTCACTCTAAGACACTATTTGGTTTATAGTGGTTGAGGAATAACCGCTCATGAGTCTTTACAAGAAACAGCTCTTATTCTAACAATATATAGTTTATTGCATGATAGTGTTGGGGCAGAGTGACTAAATGAAGAACTCAATGCCAAGGTCCACTTCAAGTATCAGAGAGTTTATTGTTTTACTCCAGTGGAGAGAAAGCCTCCGTCAGTCTGGGGACTACCCTCCTGAACAAAAAGAAACATACACTTTTTGTACATTTTCTTTTAGCCGGCCTTTGACTGCTACAACTTCTGAAGTTCTAAGGGAGGGTCACTTAACCTGAAACGTAAACTCTGATTTCTCTCTACAGATGCTGCCCGACCCGCTGAGCTTTTCCAGCAATTTCTGTTTTTGTTTGTAGATTAATCATGTGACTATCTAATCAGACCATGGACAGTTTTAGGTTATCCCATGACGTTTACTAAAATGTCGTATCACTTACCCTTGGGCCTTCACAAGACATCTTGTTCAACCACATTCCGGGCTTTGCTCCAGCACCAGTTACTCAGTGCTCCTCTTTTAGTCAGAGGGGGGCTTCTTCACTCTGCCTGAGACTGGACTGGAGCGTAGTTAAATCCCCTATTGCTTATATACTTATAAATTCTACTTTTGATGTATAACATTTGGCTACAATTATTGAGAGTCTTAACTGATGTGGGTCAGACGCTTCCCTTCTATCCCATGATCAATACAGGATTTGAACTTTAAATGCAGATGTAGTACTTTTAACTTTGACTTGTTTCCAGTTTTCTCTATTACGTATATTATTCTCACTGTACCTTCTTGCCCCACTCTACGTATTTTTACTTTTGAGTACAATGTGCATTCAGAGCAAAACTGAATGCTAATATTTTCCAGTGATCTGCTGAATTGTTCTCATACATTCGTCCAGTTCATTGCGACAAAAAGCAATCAGTTGCTTCTTTGACATAATTCTGAAGTATGGATATTTCACTTTCTCTATTGTCTTGAAGGTGAGATCATAACAAAGACACAAGCAAATATCTTCATTCACAGAATTGTAGAATGGACCGACAATTAGTTTTTATTAACTTAATTTGTGTCCCATGAAAACAAACCAACAGATGAATAAAGCCAAATTAACATAAGATTAATGAAAATCATTACAGAATACATGTTCTGGTCAAGTGAGCAAGCCTCCAGAAAGGATCATCAGTATTTGGAAGTACATTGAAAATAACAAGGCAATGACAGTAATATTAATCATTTGAGTAAACAAAAATGTATTAGCATTATAATTCACTGCTCTTGATATGAGGTTGGTGGCACAATATGTATAAAGTTGACACTTTGAGCGGCGAGTCCCTACACTTTAGAAAAGTGCGAGAAAATAGGAAGAAAATACAATTTTATCAAATCTTTTAAATAACAATTATGATTTATGAACAGATTTCTTGCTCAAATCTGAGGTAGAATTCAGTGGGATAGAGGGGAAAATTTAATTTGAAGGATAATTGGCAAGAATCCAAACATTTCGCATAATTTTACTTACAAATTAAAAGTGATGATTGGTGTTATACCGGTTAAGTTGTTTACTATATTAGATTATTAGACAATATCAGTGAATGAGTTCACACATAAATTTAAGCAGGCAAAATACACAAGACCAATGTATTCTAGTGTAATTTATTCAATCTGCACCATTGTCTAGGCCCCCAAACAATTGGACAAGGCAACAACTTTTTCTACGTAGTGTAATGTATCAGCTGTTCAAGGTGCATTATTTCCTACACTCAAGAAACCAAACGCAGATCAGATGGCCATTTTGCCAAATGCTTTGACAAGTGCAACCATGCACATCCTGTTGCTTACAACTGTATTTCTGTGCTCTCAATCTGATTGATGTATCTTTAGTATTCTCACAGTTCCAGTGATGCTCAAGGATTGGTTATATGTGAATTGTTACCTTGCTTGTTCCTTCCAGACACTAACCTGTCGAGTGTTTGAATCACTTTCTATGTGGTGTTTTAAAATAAGGAATATGCCTTTTAACTAGGTCAATATATTTTTCTTCCAAAGATAGCACTGGTGTTGTATTATCTTTTGTCTAACCCCCACTGTGTCACTGTTTAAACAAAGGCCTTTTGTTTAAGTATATTCTATTTTTCATATATATAAAATATCTTGAGGATATAACGTTGGTGCCGTAGTAACTGATTTAATGTTTTTCTTTTTATAATTCTGTTAGAGGGATGCCCTGGTTTATGCAATGGAAATGGGAGGTGTACATTGGATCAAAATGGATGGCATTGTGTTTGCCAAGGAGGCTGGAGTGGGATGGGATGTAATGTTATCATGGAACTGGTGTGCGATGATAAGAGAGACAATGATGGAGGTACAGTACGTCACAATTTGAATTTTTAATTGAAATAGCACCTCAGTTTAACTCATTTTGTAAAAAATACTGTTGTAGTCTTTCACCAAAGTACTGACTGCTGCTGCAATTTGATTTCAGTTCTGACCAGTCCCTGGACGACAGTACCTAATTTATTATGACTCCAGTTGGGTCTTCCCCAGATCAATACACTCCCAAGTGAGGAGGGAGGAATTAGCTTTCCTACTTTACCCAACCCACATCTCAACGTGCTCACAATATGGTTAACTTAAAACAAGGTGTCCCTTCTCTTAAAGATTTCTTTCCTAGTTTCAATATATTCATGTTTCAAAAGGAACAAATTATTCCAGGTTTTCTCAGGATAAGAAAAAAATGGTTTTATTAGTTAATAAAACACCAGGAAAAATAGTAAAACACAAAATACATACACAAATTAGAAATGAGAAGGGAGAAAACACGTGAATGGTCACTTGAAATGTCATAACATTCGAGGTGATGAGGAAAGTGCCTTGTGTAGTTTAGACAGGTCAGTGCAGACTCAATGAGCCAAAGGACCTGGTCTGTGCTCTATGACTCTATGACATAGCATTTGAAAAAGATGTAAAAATCAGTCTACTCCACGAGGAGTAGATGGTGAAATGTTGTTGCCATTAAATTGGATGGTTCTGATAACATGAATCTTGGCAGTAGAGCAGTTAGTATGGAGATTGTTTCTGTAGAGATGATAATCAACCTCCATTATCGCCACAACCACAGGAGAGTATAATTTGGTTTTGCATTGCATCTCTTTCTTTGAAGTTTCTGTGCGTGAAGTTCCTTGACATCCTCCAAGTATGATATTCCTCTTGGAACTAAATATAATTAATCTACTTAGGAATTTTCCAGACATCACTGAATTATTTTCTGAGAATTTACATTCACATCTATCTTGGCTAATAAATCTTTCTCGTCATTTTTTTATTTGTCACAACACAGCTAGTCTTATTAAAAAAAAATCAATATGTCCATTCGGAATTCAGGGCTATGATCTGTTGTCATGAAATTTCACAAACACCAAATGCTCTCTAGTAGTTATGTGGCCAGACTGCAGACAAAAGGTTTGTTCTTCACCTACGATTTACAGCAAATTGTTCAACCAGGAAATAGCTTCATACTTTAATTCTGATCTGATATCTATCTGTAATAAACATAAGATTCTAGAGATATGAAATAAAAAAGAGAAAGTGCTGTGAGAAACTCAGCAAGTCTGGAAGTTTCTGTGGTGAGAGAAACGGTGATAATGGACTGAAATTTCCCATTTTTTGGCAAAGTGATTTTTTAGTGAGATACATGGCACCCAGTCTGTCATGGCCCATGGCACCGTTTCTCATGTAATCTTCCACTCTTCATCTCAATAATTATGATTTTGGACAGTGCCCATTTCATGGAATCATGTGGCAGTAGAAGTGGAAATGCTCATCCCTGCTGCCAGGACTTTGCAATATTCATGTTGATGGCAGCATATTTAAGCCCCAACTCCACAACACTGCAAGCAGGGAACTGGTCTTCACAATGTGGTCCGGCATGGTTATCCCCAGGGAAATGGCTCAGAAAGGTAAGTTAGTTCCTTGATTCACTAGCAGGAACCTGAAGCTACTCATGGACAGAACAATGGAAAGAAGGACAGTTATTTTTCTTGCTGACCTGTGGAAGAAGCCATATCACCAAAGAGAGTGTGTCGTGGGTCAATGCAGTATCTCAGGTGCAACACAATACACAGCAGTGCAGATAGAAAGTTAATGGTCTTCTGCACTCTGTAAGGGTGTAAGTTGCACCATCTTCTGACTGCTACCTCATGGTCTTAGGGCCACCACTCAGTCTAACTCTGCCACTGTACTCACCTCTCACAAAGTCTCATGACTGTAACCCTCACTTTTTTATGCATCATATTCAATGAATTGGCTCTCATTCACCTAACCCTTTGCAATTCCTACTGACTGACTCAAGACATCTCACCACCTCTCCTGCCCCAGCATCACCATCTACTCTTCCATCCACTTCCATCATATTCGATCCTTTCTTTGGTTTTGTTGCGGAAAGAAATGACTCACAACCAAACCGAGAGGTTGAAAACCATGGAGACGTTGTGGACAGATGCTCATCACATCATATGAGGAAAAGATTTTGGATTTGGCTGTAGAAAAGAGTAATTACACTTGTGGGGTGGATAGGACTTAATGGTCACCCAACCAAGTAAGGTTCATTGTGCTGTTCAGTACTGCTCTCTCATTACCACTAGAATGAACTCATTTGTAACCTGCACAAATGTTTATCCCTCTTAACCAACTAATTCCCTCTCTTCTCTTAGCAGTGTCCAGTCTCAAAGAGGCCAGTGGCAGAGGCTATCAGCTCCTGCTCAACCCCTGTGGACGAAGCCAGTGAACCTTCCGAAGATTCACTGGCAAGGCTTTTTCCTACACCCTCCGCCAGTTCTGAGGCAATCACCTCAGTGCTTTCTACATTAGACTTGAGAGCACACTCTGGCAAACATATCACTGACTCTGTAGTTCATCAAGGGAGAAATACCCCAGTTCTCTTGCTCTTAAAGGACTTCTGAAAACCAAATATCTTCTCTGCCCCAGGCAGAAGATAATCCTATGTTCTCAGCTTTTAGTGACTGGGCAAAGTGCACAGGCAGGCACAGGAACAGCAGGCAGGCTTGTCAGAGGCAGTTGGCATACTGGGTTAAGCAGTCCATCAATGCTATCAGTATCATGCTTCTTCTAGCCTGTGTACATCTGGCAGTTAAGACAGCTTGGCATCTGACAAGGAGACCCAAATCCAATGCACTCAGTGTCTCCTGGACTTAGGGACAGACCTGCATTCCATCCTCTAGACATAACTGCTCAGCATCATTGGCAAGATGAAAGGGAGACAAGGAACATCAACCTCATTCTAGATGCCCCTTCCTCTCAAGCAGACAGGGTGGTGCCAGCCGGCATCCAGATGGGGAGGGAACCATACATAATGCCCCTAGTACCATCCTCTCAGAATATATCAGAGGAGCCTGGCCCTTCCATCTTCTGCTTGCCCCTGATGCCAAAGCCTGAATAGTCCAAGTCAGGGAGGGTGAGCCTGGATCTGAGTAGAACATTTGTAGTGGGCCTCAGCCCTCGAGACCCAATCACCGATATGGTGACCAGCCAAGTCTTCTAAGTCAACAGGGCCAATCACAGATCAGACTCTCTCCACCCCATTTAATGTAGTCACCAATGTCCCCAATTTGTCCACAGAAACCAAAATCTTTGAAAGTTGCCATGCCCTTGATGACCATTCACTCTCCTCGTGAAGATTGTGACTTGTGAAAACCGTCCTCCCAGAGTTCCTTGTCACCTCCTATGTTCCATGAGATCCCAGCTTCTGCCTTGAATTACCTCTTTTCGTTGTAATGAATCCTTCAGCACCAATTCAACAACCTTCATCCCCAGGCTAAGATTTCTATGTTCCCCAGGACTCCATAGATTGGCTCTGATAAACCTTAATGCCCCAATCCCAGGATTGATCATGACCAGCCCTGGACTGATTTCAAAGTGCAGGCCCAACTGATCAAGGCTCGGACCTTGGACAGATGCCGCCAGAGCACCATAACTGACACCATGCCTGTAATTGCTGGATTGGTTGCACTTGGCCTGCAGGAATAACTATGGCCTAAAGCCTTGACTGCAAAGACTCAGATCCCTGGACTCTGATAGGACCAAACGCCTGACTGATCACAGCCAATGACAGGACTAGGGTTGACGAGCTCCTTGGCTGACCATGGTGGACCCTCTAATTGACCACAGTCCCCTTTGACCCCACTAAGGACTAATCACTCTAGACTTTGAGACATGGCTATTTGGTTGAAGCACATGCAATGTGTTTGTCGTGTAACTTGCTGCCACATGGTGCAGGTTTGACATTGAAGTAGTATGTCATCGTACAGCAACATGTTTATCACCTTGACTAGTCAATGCATTGAAATATGACTAGCTGCCTGCCTCTCCCTGGGCACCTAAAAGCAATGCAAGCCACAGAGGCTGGCAGCCTTCAAATAAGTACAATGTGAGTGAGTGTTAAGAAAGGAAGCTTAGAGCTGTGTGATGCTTCCTGAATGTATGCAAAGTTTATGTATGACCTTATAAGCAAAGCAACTAGGCAGAAGTATTCAGGTCATAATGCACCTGAATCCAAAGTGAAGTCCTGAAGGGCTGAAGTGATGCATGAGTGTCTCTGAAAGCAGACATGATGTTGTGGTGAGACTGGTGTTTTGCTGATGCCACGTTGAATAGGCAAAGGAAATGAGGAGCACATAGGGACATGGCAATAAAGACCTGGAGAAGCAATCAGTCAACTTCTAGTTAATTGCTGGGTCTCTCATGTCAGGAATTGGTACCATCTAGTTTCTTGGCAAGGAGAGAAAATTTGGAAGTTGCAGATAAGTGAGTCAATTTGGGCTATTAAAGAGTTACAATGCATGAAAATAAAGCCATCACCACTCATTTACAAAATTCTGACCTTACTGTTTAAACCTTCAGGGCAATATCAGAATTTATTTTTTCAATGTGAGGATTCTGATCTGTTTTTGAATTTCACCATATTTTCTCACATTTCTCACCGTTGCCCACACTGCTGAAGAGAATGGAAAATGTTCTCAATGTTTCCAGCTCAGTAACTCTTCTCAGATCAACTTATGTTCATTTGCCAGAAGGGATTGGTGTTTTGAAATTGGAAAGGAGGACCTTGGTGTCTTTTACTTTCCCTACTTAGCCCATGGCCTTGAAGTCTAATTGTCTCACCTCAGTTCCATTTGGTTCTTTGAGATCCGTTAATTCAGCCCAGAGAGTGCATCTTTGTGACTGTTGATGAAGTAGTTGACTCTCAACTACTTGCAGTACCATTTGTTGCGCATCTTGCCCATACATCCCAGGTTTCCCATTAACAGTAGATTTCATATTAAGTTGGAAAACATCTTTACAAAAATA